TTGACCTTGCTTATGGTTCCGACACCACTTTTCTAATTGCTCTCTATGCAATAATGATCCAGCGAACCGTTCCTCAACGAAAATACTCCACTTTTATCAAATGTTATCTCTACAGGCCAGGGAACTGCTGGACGCATCTCATAGTGGAATGGAAGACGTAAAGAAAAGAGTGCTAGAGTTCCTCGCTGTCCGGAAACTCAGCGATTCGGTCTGTCCGTTCACTTTATCCATGTGGACGATGCGCAGATGGTAGTAAAGCTGTTTTTCAGGTCACCGGTCCGATTTTGTGCTTCGCAGGTCCACCAGGTATTGGAAAGACAAGTATCGCAAAAGCCATCGCACAGTCGCTCGGACGCAATTTTGAAAGGTCTCGTATCATGAATCTTTGCTTAGTAACAGTTGTACCATGAGCATGTTCATCGAAACTAAAAAGGAAATCTCTGTGATATTGATTTGGAGGAGCCATGCATTGTTCTTCCCGACAAAAGCGCGGCCGTGATTGGGTCTGTGGGCGGCTTGATCTTTCATAAAAAAATCTCATCGTGTAGCTCGCCTTTCCCTTATTATCAAGGCACACCTAAAGGCCCATCTCACAAAAGCATGTGGCTGATGATGTTAAAATGCAAAGTTTCACGCCGTCTGGGGTCTGTTATCGGAGAACAAGTGGAAAAATCCAGAACGCTACCGAAAACGCCAAATCAAGCCCTTGTATTTGTAATTTTTGCAGTAGGGCACTGTACGAGTTTTAGCTGGTGGAAGTGCGCACTCAAACCAGATCCAGACGAAGAAGGAACGAGATTGGATAGAGACGACGGAGACGCAGACACCATATACAGGCGGATAGCACGGCTTCTGTTCCCACCAATTCAAAACCATTCAATTTTGAGGCGTAGACTGAAGATGGGGGCGGGGAGAGTGAGGTGAATAGGTGTTGTTGCAAGCCTTTACGACCTGAATAAACACCCATAAGCCGTGAAAGCAGCATAACCTGGTGTTAAAGGACCAGTCTACCTGAATGGTGGAGGGTTATATCACTGAGGTAATTGAGCAATGTGCCTTTAAGTAACCGTCCATTGAGGCTTCAGATAAAGGAGGAAGGTGGCTGTCGGTCTTCTCACAATTGCTCCTTCCTTTTTGCTTTGAAAGCAGTGATCATGATGACTGAAGCGAGGTGTGCTTTCGATCGCGTCATTGAACGCCATGAAAGTAAGTTAAGAGCGAACCCATTCACACACCCCAACACGTTGAATGGTTCAGTCCACCGATAATGTTCAATGATGCCATCAAGATCGCACTGCTGTCAAGCATTGTGATTACCGCTTTTGAGAAATTCTTATGAGTGACTTTTCCAGAAATGAAGGTGAAGCAGTTGTAATTTTCACTTTTTCAAGAATCTTTTTTGCTGACGTTATCAGTTCTAACCTTCTCAGGTTATGTACGAGTTCTTTTCCAGGATCTCACTCGGTGGAATCCGGGACGAAAGTGATATTCGTGGTCATCGCAGGACTTACGTGGCAGCCATGTGTGGACGAATTATTCAAGCTCCTAAAGCATGCTGGCAGCAATAATCCACTGATACTTCTCGATGAAGTCGATAAGTTGGTGAGTTTGAAGCAAAAGCTTAGCTGTGGTAAAACTATTCCTTCTTGGACCTACTGCTCACACGGATCATTTTAGTTCTCTGGTCTTCACGGTTCACCGTCGGCTGCTTTGCTGGAGGTGTTGGATCCTGAGCAGAACAACTCATTTACTGACCAGTTAGTTTCTATCAGGAGAGCGTTTCTTTAGTCCTCATAAGATGTCGAGAATTATTTAGCTACCTTGAATCTCCCGTTCGATCTGTCCAAAGTGCTGTTTATCGCCACCGCCAACGACCTGTCGAAAATCGAGGGTCCACTTGCGGATCGTCTTGTAAACATTTTGAATTCCGAGGGTTACCACCGAGGGATATAAAGCTCGCAGTGAATAAATAAATTTCCAGATTATTGAAATGACCGGATATTCGACGAATGAGAAGATAGAGATTGCCGAGCGACACCTGATCCCTCGTCAATTACTTCAACATGGAATCTGCCCGGATCATTTACGGATACAAAGAGATGCTCTCCGAGTTATGGGTAAGATCCATTGCAATCAATAATATCTTTTTTCACAGAAAACGTTGCCAATCTGCTAATCGTAAGTTGCTTTTTGTCATTAACTATCCAAAGTTTCGTGCCATGACATAGCCGCGTGCCGAACGCCGTCTTTCTGCCTTACCGCGTATGCGATCCTACACTGATGAGCCTCCGGAAGCAGCTGAGGGCAAAGCACACAGCTGCAGACGGTTGCAATCGTTCAGGCCACCATATCTTTGTCCCCTTTACTGCTAACGTGGAATTGCAGTCTGCCCAACAACTTCATGCCCTTAAAAAATGGATGTCTGTTTCATCCAGCCGCGGTATTGACTTGACTCTCAATCTTCTTGCCAATGGCGTCCGCATTTTTGAGTACCCGACAGGAGTCGTCACGCGGCGTTAAGGCAGAGGTACAGATTCGTCAGCGGACGAGTCGCAGCGCGTATTGTAGCGATTTAGCGTCAAGTTAAATAGAATGTACTATAGTACGTCCATATCGCACATCGCGCTACGACTCGTCCGCTGCCCCTCTGCGTCTCTGCCTTCTCGCCGCGCTACGGGCCTCCTGCCGGACACCGCACAATTCAAGTTTCTCCCTGCATCGCTCACTCATCTATGTTATGACATTTCCAAGGATGTTAGCTATGCATAAGTAGGAATTTTTCAGTAGAGGACTACACTCGTGAATCAGGAGTGCGACAACTGGAACGAATGATCGCGGCGACGTGTCGCTTTGTGGCATTGCGAGTAGCAGATTCTGTTAAAGACCAGAATGATTTCGATAGCATGATGAGCTCCGAGTTGCCACTTGTTGTCACTGCCGAGAACTGTCGGAAAATACTCGGGGTACGTTTGCAGAGGTGTATTAGGGCCACATAACGGTAGAGTCTGTCACTAAAACGCGCGCCATCAGATGGTATCGTAACGAACACACAAATCGGTTCTGAAAGCCGTCACTACGTTGATTACTGATTCCGCAATAGCGAGAAGCTCTGGAGCAGGAATGAGCCTATTAAGAAGATGCTTAACAAGACAAGCTCCAACAGGACATATTCCGCTTTTTTATCTTATTTCGTTCCCTTACAAATATCCCGGAGACGTAAACAAAGCTATAGTTTGTTCGGGGAGAATTGTGGGGGACGTGGGGAGGTATTGAGAAAGGACCATTAATTCTGAACCCCTCACTCCAATTCCCTTTCGCTCTCACTAGCTACTGCTGCAGCGCCTTATAAGGAAGATCTTTGGGGGTGTGAAACACTTTTTCAGAGCGATTTTCTGCATTTCTCAAGAGCTCAGGCGTGGACTACAGCAACCGAGGTCCATTTATCGCTGAGCGACCCTTGAAGGGCCAAAAGGTTGTGAGGAAATGGTCCAAGGTCGAACTCCCCGTGATGAAAAATTTTTTGCACCTTTGTTGGAGCTTCCAAAGTTTGTAGAAAAAGTATCAGCGTCTGTAGTTAGGCCGATGTCAGACTTTGCGAATCGTTCGCTAGCGTCTGCGGTCGCGTCGCGGCCAGTGAATCACTCAATTGGCTGGTACCGCAACGCGACCGCGGACGCTAGCGAATCGCTAGTAGCGAACCCTTCACTCGCAAAGTCTGACATCGGCTTAGATGTCATGTTCATGGCCAGGAACGGGCACTCTTCGCTAGAACTTCTATGCTCACTCAAGGCTGTAAAATAACCCACTCCAAATAGAATTTTTCGATTATTTCTTGGTCTTCAGGGGGCCGCTAATCAAAAATAATCAGTTCTGTAGTCACGTGAGAGCCCCTGAAGTGGTAAGAAAAGCGTTTCGAAAAAGCACTCCATACCTTGAAAGACCTCCCTTGTTAGTGGAAGGGCAAGCTTAGCAGCCGACAAGAAGCAGGAAAATTGCCAAAAGATTTTTTTATCAGAAACTATTTCATACGAAATTGAATAATTTGCTCTTTAGCTCAACTAATAGAAGACGCTCAGAAACGCCGTAGTTGTCCTTAGACTGGCCTCAAAAGCAGTGAAATAGCCGAAGCATGGAGCGATTTTGTTGACGCCACTGGACGTCATTTGTAGACGAGACTCCTCAGCGCGGGGGGAGGGGTGTGGTTAGGACCAACTCCCAAGGCCCTTCCACGAACCACCGCTCAATGACGTCACCAAAATGTGCATTTTCGCCCTCTGGCCATCGCGCTAACTGCCTTTAAAGCCTATATTGAACCTTTGCATACCGACCTTACTTTACTGGACAATCTTATACAGTGAGCTTCCAGAAGGAACGCTTTGCTGCGGTAGATCTCGTTGAACAGATGGGAAAGTTCCGTCTTGGTACATGTTTCGGCTTGGCGTGGACACCATTTGGAGGAGAAATTGAATGGTTATTCGTAATAACTTCGTATAGCATACATTATTCTACCCAGCAAGTACTTGGTCGTATTGTTGTAGTACTCCTACTCGGGTTTCAGTTATTTCCAGTGGTTTTGTTGTCGAAGGTGATACAAGCTCAAAAAAAACCCTTGCAGAGGCGAATCGCTGTAGCGGAAAAGGCAAAATCGTGATGACAGGAAAACCTGGGATGTCTTCGAAAATAGATGTTGCTCGAACATGTCATTCGTCCAATGCGACCATGGTAGTGATCTTGAAATGAGCAGAAAAATAGAAAGAAGTTATACGAGGCCCCACTGATTGGGAACATTCACAAAATTCACAACAAAATGCACAAACTCTTCTTTTTTTCTACTTACCCCCTTGTCTGACACTCATTTCGAGCATTTTTGAACATTTTCTACTAAGCTCTCCATTGTTCTAAAAGAAATCTCAGAAGAAGCTTCTTCAAGTCTATCCTACTTCATTATTGTTCAGACTTCACGCAGACAGCTTGGACGGTGCCGATCTTCATGTGCATTTACCCTCAGGTGCCGTGGGTAAAGATGGTCCGTCGGCTGGTTGTGCTCTGGTTTCTGCCCTGTTCTCATTAGCCAGCAATAGACTTGTAAGAGCTGATACGGCAGTCACTGGAGAAATAAGTCTCACCGGACATATCCTTCCAGTAAGTATCTTTATGTAGAAATTGGGTCACCGCTGCATCAGTAAATCAGTAGAATTACCCTATCCCTGCCTGACCTCTGCCTGCCATCGCCGCTGCACTTAGAAGTAGTACTGCACTACCTTAATATTATCTCCTGGAACATGTTCAGAAAACCGTACTTAGGACGATGTCAGACTTTGCGAATCGCGCGATTCGCTAGCGTCCGCGGTCGCGTCGCGGCCAGTGAATCACTCAATTGGCTGGTACCGCAACGCGACCGGGACGCTAGCGATTCTCGCTCGATTCGCAAAGTCTGACATAGGCCTTACGATTAGTGAGTGACGAGAGGAGTGTGTATTTGGCCCATTGCTACTCAGGGGGGGGGGTGAGCCGTGCATTTGAATACACATAGTACGATCATTTGTCATTTTAACTAAAATTTTAGAGCGCATATAATTATGCAAGGTTGAAGAGCTGCAGAAAGAGAATTTAATTTCCTGGTACATGTCACGCACAGAACTTCCAGCCTGAAATTTCGACTTTTTGAATGATGAATAAAGCCGCAGGAACGGTACGATGTTCCTTTTCTCCCAACTCAGATCTCAGCCAATTCCCCCAACCTTTTAGGAATTAACTTCCAATTCTACCGCGACGAATCCCAATCTCGCGGTACGATCGCATCGCGCAATGCGCTTCATGTGATCATACTTGTTGAGAAAGTAATCTCGAAGTCAGTCATAAATTGTTTCAAATAGAATAATGTATTTGCAGGTAGGTGGAATCAAAGAGAAAGTTCTCGGAGCTCATCGAGCTGGTATTCGACGGGTCATTTTACCACTGGCTAATCGCAACGATGCTGAGTACATCGATAAATCGATAAAGGTACCTTATTTCGGCCACTTCAGTCTTTCAGAAGTAATGTTCCAGTAGTAATTTGATGAATGAGGTTGGAGATCCCTGTTCTCAACGACGTATCACCCTATCTTTCCATCGCCGAAGTGTTGAGCAGGTAGGGTGGATAGGTAGTCGCATTGTCGAAAGGATTGAAACAAATCCTTTCATGGATTCAGGGGGTGTGTAATATAACATTTGAATTTTTGCAAAATTCACGGGAATCTCAAATTTCAAAGCATTGCTCTGTCTCCTGCGAATGAACCCAAGTTAAGTATATTTTGAGGTAGAAATTAGAGTGGTGGGAGGCCCTGATATGATAGAAACCACCCCCTTTCTTTGGTAACGCTTATATTTTGAGAACGTCCAGGAGTTTATCTAGAATTCTGGGCGCTGTCGCAGGATACCATGTCCTTCTTGTCAAAATCGACTAAACTTTAAAGCGGGGGAGGAGAGACTTCAGGGTGCATGAGCCATTTTCATTTTCCCGGAGTTCCTGCAGCCTTCTAGGCTTACTCCTGGCGACGGCTCCGTGTATTGCGATAGCGCTGAATTTCGAAATTCGTATTTTGATATGATATTACTTTAGGATGAAATGGATATACAGTTCTCGTCCGATATAGACGATCTACTGCAGAAGATCATGGAGAAGGATAGCGTCTCAAATGTTCTCTCGAAATTGTAGCTGTACTTCTTCGCTTTCTGTGGTTGTAAATAGATGTGTAAATCATGCAAATCACTACACAAAAGGACATAAAAACACGATTAATAATTGTTTAGATCCCAATACAATACCAATCTCAAGCATGAATATACCTGGATGCTCGAGTTCCCATTGAAGGAATTTTTCACTCGCTGAAATTTCATAAATACGTATGAAAAATCAAGTGGATCTTATCAAAATCCCGGAAAAAAAAACTTATCAACAAGCGGCGCTTGGGGAAGCGGGACATCTTACCCACGGGGCCGAACGTAGAAGGCTAAGTCGACCTGAGACACTCGGTAAAAGGTTTGAATGCAAGGTTCGGAATTTCTGGTCGAAATTAAGCCTCTTGCCGAGAAAAGTGCAGCGGTACAAGCGAAGAGCACGTACACATTTTTCGGGATGATTTGACAAGGCCGAGGCGCTAAGGCCCTAGGATGCAGACATTGGCTCCGCCCAACACCAATGACCCCGCCCACAAATCATTGCTATTCTGCTTTGAGTGCTATTTCCTTCGTTTGCCAACTAGAGATGACGTTTTGTTTTGTGCCTTGTCGACGGTTTCTTCGCGTTTTTCCATTGTAGTCGTTACACATCACATCTCCACTGTCACTTACAAGCGAAGAATACATCAATACAAAACTCCGTTTTAAAGGAATCTTGCGCGGAAAATTCTTGCACTCTTTCCTAACATGAATATGTCAGTTGTGATCACTGGAAATAGCACACAAAGTTTCACGCATGAAGATTCGGTTTCTGAAGAGAAACAAACGTACAAAAACTACACGTTATGGACCATCGAAGGACCAGGAGGCAGAGCCAGGCGAGGCATGGAAAGAAGACGGCGTTTGGCCGGCTACGTACCAGGCGACGCAATGAGAGAATCGGGTTAAAGCGCGCGATTTCGGAGAGTGGAGACAAATCGATCGATGGAATAGGATGGAGTAGAAGTGTAAGATGTGAATGCAACGAAGCAGAAGGCCAGAAAGAGCTTCTAGTGAATGCACTCCAAGAACCAAGTTTGAGCATCCCCGTCGCCAGCATTCGTGAAAGACGTCCGTGGGCAATTCGAACGCGTAGCAGCCTTTTCGAGTTTTCGAATTTCTAATCAAAACGAAAAGCAATACTTCAGTTCTTTTCACTATTATCGTGGATAATGAGTCTCAAGCCAGTGATTTATGGCTGAAATAGAATCATGATTTTTCCGCGCAAGATTCCTTTAAGATTGATTGAATGGTTTGGTTTGGTCTATACAGTGAACAACGGAGCCAATTCATACCAATAAGTGCTTCTGTGCCGCCAGAAGAGTGAGGTACCGGTCAACTAAAAGGATGCAAGGCTTGCTTACAAGGCTTGTTAGCTCGAATTGGGTACAATGCAATGTTCCCCCAGCCAAAGCGGACCTGCCTTCACAACCACACCTGCTTTTAATCGTGAGAAACTGTGATCTACAAAACCCTTAAAGGTTGACTCCACGATAAGAGCGGGGGTCGAAGATGAGGAAACTTACCAGTGGAGAGTCAGCCGGATCCCTGAGGGTGCGGACTACGCAATTCGCATTGAAGACATGCTCCTGGCGATCTAGCATGGCCTTCCCTTTGGCGCAATTGGCCCGGAACGCCCACCGACTATCACTCGCCGCAGGTCTATACGCGGCGAGTGATTAGATAGCAGAGAGAGCGTAGTGTTGAAGAGGGCACAGCGATGAGAGTCGCATCAATGCGGAAATCAACGGGCAAGGAAGGGGTCCCATTTCTCGGGTTCCGGGCCGTTTCACATGGTTTTCTTCATCCCTGCTTCCACACACCAGCTCTACCCTTATTTCCAGTGAGCCACCTTTTCATTGTAAATACGCTTTCAAGTGAACTAAAACCTTTCCCTTTTCATCTCCTTCCCATTAATACTATTGATACCACAGTTGCAGATCCTGAATGATGTTTCTGTTGACAGAAAAAAATATTCTGCTGTGGAAAGCAATAATTGATTATACTATACATCAAAAAACGATGTAAAAGCGTAAATTCCTATATTAAATATATTTATCATTCGAAAATCAACAAAAAAATGAGAAATTATTTTGTACATATGTGAGACTAGAAAATCAAAACAGACGGCGGCACAGTTGGATGCAGAGAACAGAGTGATGTGCTCTTGCCGATTTACCATCGTACCAAATGGCTACTGTTCTTTCAATGCCTTCATACGAGCCTCTTTATCTTTGATCATTAGAAAGTCTTCCATTTCTTGATGTAACAAACGTGGCGGTGCCATCACCCATCTCTGAAAATTGCTTTAATTATCAACTATTCTTAGCTTTTCTAACTTCATTTCAAAGCCTATTTAAGCATAACTTATAGGAAAGGAAAGAACCTTATGAACGCTGGTGCGCGAGCGTGCTAATTGAACCAAATTCACTGCATAAGAGTTCAAGGTAGGGGGGGGGCGAAGACCGGGTGGTACTCCCACGATCCCACCCTTTGCCAATGACCTTCTAAACTGACATCATGGATGATGTCTGCGTCTGGACCTCTCACTGCTCCCTCGTCCCTTTCGATTCTGCTCTCTCTTCTTGGTTCACAGTGTTTCTTCGCTGCAAGTTTGTGCTACGCTAAAATGAGAACCAAAATAGGGTTACTGGGGCTGTTTTTGTGGGTTATTTTGTTATTTTTTCTCAAGGCGAGTGGGGCACTTAACGCATAAAGTTTCACTTTCAGACCACATTACCCACATTTTGTAGTGGAATGTGCCGTTAAGAGAAAAAAGATAACATGCTTTATATAGGAGCTTTAAAAATTGACTTAAGAACATTCGGTTACCTTGACCATGGAGCCAACTTTTATAGTTCCATATGCGAGTGTGCATATTCCTAAGAACATTGTGGCGGCTAGGAAGTGTGGTCGATATCGAGAAAACCTCGATGAAATCATTCTGGAACAGCCTCATCGTAAATAAGGTCCAAGTGTGTTTGTACATTTTGAAGCTCTCCAGGGCCAAACGCAAAATTCATCAACTCGTGTTGTTATTTGGGATCCTACTGCGAAGAAGAGCAGCAGGCCTCACATATGGGCGAGCGTAGGGTAAGCTACAGGGCAAGGAATCCGGTATACTGACCTACCCGCCAGAACCCTACTCCATTTTTTTGAAGTTACAGCTGACTGTCTTCAAAAATGTCTGTCCAGCGGTAAGTAAGGCAAACAACGTCGAAGATTGTAACAAATTTTCTGAGAGAAGGTATTGGGTAGGATTGGCCTTGATAGATTTCGGGAAAAGTGAGGATTGGACTTGCAAGGGTTTGAAGATGAAAATTCAAAACATTTTCAATAACATCGGGAGATTCACAGAAATAACAATTTTTCTTTTCGGCTGCAACCTACATACCTTACCCTGCTCGATGGACTTGCTTGAGGAAGTTAGGCGAACCAGAATTGAAGATGGAGTAGGAACAAAGCTGCAGGTACCTGACTTTCGTGACAACCAGATTACTCAGGTGAAAGGTATGTAGCAGTACAGTCAAAATTTGGAAAGTTCCAAAATTACTTGTTTTTTTCTGTTTTCTTTTTTCCTCCTGGGACTCCTGAACATTACCTTGATCTCCTACAGATCATGCCTAACCCTCATTAATCCCTTACTATCTCCTCTTCCCGAAAAACATTGTAGATACGATGCAATTTTCTCCAGCAACCCTTGCATGACACCTTATCCCTGCAGAGGAGTAGTCGAAGTTGGCTTGCCAAAAGAGAGGGTTCGGACGTAACATATATGCGCCACGTCTTCGTGCATGAGACAAACCCGCCGATCTACCCACATTGAGTTTTGTGCATCACCCAAGATATTGAAGAGAAGTTCACGAGAAAGACGAACGCATTAGAAAACAAGCTGACTTATGGTGTGTAGAGATGAAGACAAAAAGGGATGAGAAACAGCCCAAGCCCGAGAAATGAGAAACTTTGAATGCCCGTTCGTTTTCACATTGATGCGAATCTCTCGGTGCTGCCCTCTTTAACGCTCACGCTCTCTCTGCTAATTTTAGCAGTCAACACGGTGAGGGTGCGCGGCGGTACGTCGTATGCGCCATGGTGGGCCGTCTTGAGTCATATTCCTAGGTGTAATCGCACACGTCGCCGCACCTCAATGAATCAGGTACCTTGATCACTGGTTATATTGTCCCCTTCTTCAGCCTCCCACCTTAGTCGTGCGAATCCTCTTGGTTTGAAATAGATATTGGCAATTTTCTTGCCCCTACATCGAATTGCAGGCAAATAAGGTTAGTGTTAAGGAAAGAATTCCTAGATGGGCTGTCCTTAAAGGAATCTTGCGCGGAAAAATCATGATTCTATTTCAGCCATAAATCACTGGCTTGAGACTCATTATCCACGATAATAGTGAAAAGAACTGAAGTATTGCTTTCGTTTTGATTAGAAATTCGAAAACTCGAAAAGGCTGCTACGCGTTCGAATTGCCCACGGACGTCTTTCACGAATGCTGGCGACGGGGATGCTCAAACTTGGTTCTTGGAGTGCATTCACTAGAAGCTCTTTCTGGCCTTCTGCTTCGTTGCATTCACATCTTACACTTCTACTCCATCCTATTCCATCGATCGATTTGTCTCCACTCTCCGAAATCGCGCGCTTTAACCCGATTCTCTCATTGCGTCGCCTGGTACGTAGCCGGCCAAACGCCGTCTTCTTTCCATGCCTCGCCTGGCTCTGCCTCCTGGTCCTTCGATGGTCCATAACGTGTAGTTTTTGTACGTTTGTTTCTCTTCAGAAACCGAATCTTCATGCGTGAAACTTTGTGTGCTATTTCCAGTGATCACAACTGACATATTCATGTTAGGAAAGAGTGCAAGAATTTTCCGCGCAAGATTCCTTTAATAAATGCATAGGAATCCTAAGTGTGGAAAGCTGTGCCTTTTTTCTAACTCGTTATTACCATTAACAACATCTAGCGCCGCTTATAATCGTGCAGCCATGCTACGATAAAGTGGCAGCGCATCGGTCGAGCCGAGCACTATTACCTCCACTAATCATGTTTATCTCGCTGTCCAGTAAAACGAGTTAGCGCTTTCACGATCGAATGTTCGGCTGGCTTGTGGACAGTGACTTCGATAAGCTCCGCCCCTAAAGCGATCCGCCCACTGGTTTACTGGGGATGCCCACCACTCCCGTCCGCCCGCCCACTGTAGTTTAGTGGTGATTTGGACGAGCTGCGTTGCCAGCAGCGGCACAACTGGAGCAACTCGACTGGAGCATGGATTGGCATGCTGTCACCAAACGCGTTGCGCTGAACTCGTTCATACGTCCGCTTTCTGAGCTGTTACCTGTTCATGAGTGAAAACCAACGGCCAAAAAAGGGGGTCCCGTTTTGCGTTTTCTTGACGGATTTCTCCGCTTTTTTCGCTACTGGCGTACCACTGAGCACCACCAGTTTCCTATAAGCCTTTCCTGAATCTACCGCCTTTAAGAAACTTGCAAATGAAGAAAAATAGGATAGAGAGTAGCCTAGCCAAGGAGAAAACATGATAGAAACTCACATTGAAGAGAGGACGGATCTTTATTGTTGTGCGAGGAGTGGGGGGAGAGAGGGAGATAAAGATTGCGAGCCAGTCTGGGGATGGAAAAAAATGTACAGAGACCAGTAAAGGATGAAAGGTCAAGATGGTGGGCGGGGCGGTAGCAGAAGTGGGCGGGGGCCTAAAGTGGGCGGAGCCGCAACTGAACCTTTGTAAAAATTCCGGTTGCTCTGCTCCCCAACGCTGAAGTGTTTTCGGACCCACGCTTTTGCGCGCTTGGCGCACCAGTGAGACAGGTTTGAAACAATAAGATGGCTTGCAATTAGAATACTACATCTCGATTTCAAATTTTTTGATTCGGCCATCGTTTGTCACACTCTCCCTCCCCCCTCAATGTCCCTTCTTCCCCTTTCCACCACTCTAATTCTTTCCTCCTCATTCCTGACTATACCCTCATATGTACCCCCTCCCCACTGTCTCAGTAATTCCCTCTTAACCAGCACTGTGATGTTTTCGAAAAAAATATTCTTAATGAATACCACCGACCAAAAAATGGTGGCTGCAAACGCAGGGCAACTTCATGCTTCAGGACTGTGGTTTGGACTGTAGAACTGCTTATATAATCAAGAGCCCTTCAATTTTATAGTATCTGTGTTCATAACAGCTTGAAATCAAACAAAGGATCTTATTTTACTTTGAAAGAATTGGATGAAATACCACAACTCGTTCTGACAACGAAGTAATTTCTGCACAAACAATCGGTTATGGCCAGTACTTAAGCAATAAGGACTACAATAAGACCCATTAAACACTGCACGATCAAAGAAGAAGTGGAATGGCATAAAGTGCGATGAGTGGTCTGACGCCAAAGAAGCATCCCGTGCAACTGCGTCTAGCACACGTGAAATCACGTCTCCGTGGAATTTTCGAGTTGGTCCATGCATTTGTTGTATCACATGGCTGTATTCACCCGGTTGCTATGCACTATAGTAATAAAATAGGCTGCTGACAGCTGGCTCCATGGATTCTCAAGTCTTTAACACTCGTCCATCTTTTTTCTTCTTCCTTTGAGCTCTTGGACATTACCCAAGTTGGTGGCACCTACACAAATACTTTAGAAAGGGTCGACTTCGTTCCTCCAAGAATGTAGCCTAAGCTCGGTGCGATGTCAGTTGGGTGTGGGGGGAGGGGGACTTGGTGCTAACTTAGATGGGGCGGGGGG